TCTTTGTTTTTTTAACGGAATTTTTTTTAGGTATCGTGCTGATTTTGAGAGAAATGTCGAGTTAGCGCATTTGGTACAGCAGAAATTGGATGCTTACAAAGCCGATGATCCATCGATGGGTGAAGGTGCTGACAAAGCACGTAGTCAGTTGATGATATTGGATCGTGGTTTCGATGCAACCAGTCCATTGTTGCATGAATTAACACTGCAAGCCATGACACACGATCTCTTGGATATTGAAAATGATGTATATCGGTAAGGATTTTTTGGTGCTTTGGCATTTCTGGATTAAATTTTTCTCGTTTTCGAATCTTCGTAAAACATAAAATGCCTGATTGCTTTTACCCTAAAAAGCATTGGATGCTTTCTGAGAGCGAAGCGAATTTTAGAAATGCCAATATTTAAATTTTAACGGGACTTGGGCGCTTCACATTTTGTTTACTTTGGACCGTCCACTTGTTTTTAAGACTACGATTCGGCGGCCTTCCAGCGGCCGCAAATTATTATTCAGAATTAAGGAGTCTGGCAATGATTACGCTTGAAGCGGAACTCATCCAGAGACTGATACCATTATTTGGATCGTAGTATTTATAGGTTTTTTGTGTTACAGCTACGAAACCGGTGGTAATGATAGCGTTGATAAAGAAGTTTTGTTGGATGAAAACGATGATTTGTGGGTGGAAAATCGTCACAAACATATTGCTGTCGTTTCACAGGAAGTCACAAAGGGGTTGAAAAAATTCTCAGAAAGTAAAGCAGGCATGAAAGCGGATGCAAAAAGTATCAAAGGTTTGTTTTTTGTGGAACTGATTTGGCAATCCTTGTGGTAACTTTTATTTTTTGCCCACCACATACCCAGAAGCTATCTCTTTTTTTCTTCAAAGTAGCCCTCAGTGGAAGAAGTCATCCACATCCTTACACAGCGGTGATTGTTCTTGTCATTTGCTACCACTCGAATTACTTCCGAACACCTCGGCCTCTCGTAGATGGGGTATTTGTGGAGCGGGTTTTGACTTGTCCTTTATTTCTGAAGTTATGGTTCGGCCTACCAACTACCTCAAAAAAAAATCACTTTACAACTTCACCCTCTTCTTCAAAAATTTAATGTTTCGTGGAAATTATGACCACGAAATTGAAAAGGAATGTTTCGATCCGCCATGAAGTCGTAGTATGCGATATGTTCGTTGAAATTTCATTTTCAGACCTGTCAATGATGATCAAAAAAATGCCACAATACCAAAAAGAACTGAACAAATTCAGTACCCACTTTCATTTGGCCGAAGAATGCATGCGTAAATATCAGCAGGGTATCGACAAATTGTGCAAGGTTGAACAGGTATGTGTATGGAAATGGTACCTATAACTTAATATATGACTTAATATATGGGGCGGAATTACCCATACCTCTCTCCCCTACCCGTATTCACTCTCTGTCAAAGGTGGAAGCACGCGAAAGTGGTCCCGAGTGGTTGCACGTGGTAAAAGCAGCCAACCGCTGGCAAGGCTCTCGATGGCTTCCTCTTCCGAGAACTGTTTAAAAGTAAGCTGGTGGGGGAATTTTCCCGCAACTGTCTCGCGCTAATTTGCTAAATTGATCGTCTGTTGGAAAAAAACCAAGATCGAAGCTTATTTTTCAGGATCTGGCAATGCAAGTTGATGCAGAAGGTGAGCGCGTAAGAGATCCGATGAAACTGATGGTACCATTGTTGATTGATCCAGCAGTTGAGCCATGCGATCGTCTTCGACTTATTTTGCTTTACATTTTGTCAAAAAATGGTTTGCTTTTCAATATATTTTTGCTTTATACTTTATAAGTGATGCAGTTAACTTCTCTTCCAAACTCTTTACCAAAAATATTCACTGTTTGTATCTTTAAAATTTCTACAACACTTAAAACCAATCCAGATTGTCACGTTTCTCCTTTTAGTTCCCCTGTTGTATCTTTTTTTGCATTTTAACTCGAAATTTAACTTTTCTAAATTTGTTGGTTTGTTACTTATGCTCTTTTGACCGAATTCTGCATCTTTCTTACTTAATTTTGAATTAGAGTGGGTAATTAATGCGGTTTTTCCTTTGTAAGCAAATATGAACTTTGATAAAATCAAACCGCTCATTTTCTTTATCCCCGGAACCTTGAAATCTACTTTACCCCGGGATCCTTTTTGCGGCTATCCCGACTGGAAAATCACAGCAAAAATTTCCCATTCCATCAAGTCAGTTCAGGTTGTCAAAATTGTTTTAAACGAAAAAAGTTGCGAAAATCATTGTGGATACTCTTAGGTATGGAAGTTCATCCCTTCCCTGTTATCGGATTATTTTTTCCCCAATTTCTTTCAGGCATTACGGAAGAAAATCTTGAAAAACTTTTACAACACGCAAATATTGACATGGTTGAGAAGGATACATTAACAAACGCCTCATACCTGGGTTTGAATATTGTGACCGATGTAAGTCATAATGCTGTAATGTTATTTGTACAGTTTCCTCACAGATTTGCAGAACGAGGCCTTCTTACTACTGGTAGCGCTTGGAAAATATTATCGGGTTGGAGTTAGATTAGAAAGGATAACTTTGTAAACGAAGTAACTGGCGCCATTTCCTATTTGAGTGACGATGAAAATGTCTAAATCTGAATCTAGAGGGTATTGGTTGAAAACTTTGACCCTGTATTTTGGTAGAAAACATGAAATTCAGGGGAGAAAATTGTCCCACGTGAATCTTCGGATTATTCAGTTTCTCAAAAAACATGCGCACTGGGCAAAGAACCCCAGGTGTGACACAGAACTCCAGATATTATATGGACTCTGGCCGTTCCATATTTTTTAAGCTTCGGACTGGCCGTTTGCTTCAGAAATTACGATTCGGCCTACTAGGGACCGCAAATTATTTAATCAATTTAACCTACTCCGGTCGTTCCACTTGGAACGTCCACCAGCGATTTGGCTTTCCAGTGGCCGCTACTTATCATACCTTCAACGATATGATTGCGAAAAAATGAGCTATGTGACCAGCACTTTTCGAGTTTTTCTTGGATATCGGTAATCCGAGATTCACTGTGGAAAAGCGAAAATGTACCATAGCTTTTTTTATAAGTGACTGTTGTTTTCCGAATTTGAAAAGGCCTGCAGCTCGCTTTATGATGAAAAATTTGATGAAAGAGGATTTTTTAAGTCATAGTTATTTCAGTGATAAAGTGAAAAAGCTTTCAGCAAGGACGTAAAAGAGTTTGGACACCGAGTCGCAAGGAGCGTGCGAACGAGCAAGTTTACCAGTCATCACGA